CTTTAAAGCTGCAAATTTATAAAATAGTTAAGAAAAAAAGCAATGATCAACCATAGCGAGCTGCAAATGATTTTACAATTTCTTGTAATAAATTAAATGATTAGTTAATTGTATTAACTAATACGGGCATATGAGTATAATATATGATTCAACTATACAATATCAGAATATGTAAGTTAGATATACATTTTTATAAACTTTATTAAATCCACCATTATCATTCTAATACATTCATTTTCTTAGTAAAAGTAAAAATATACCGACTAAGCTGTATTTTATTAATAATAATATATATATAACAAAATATTATTAAAGTCTAAAAACGAACTCTGCAAACTAAAATCTATCGATTTTTATTATGCGTTCCATATGAACATACTCATTCATATCGAATTTCATTATATTACCTGTTTCGTAATTATTAACTCTAAACGCATTCCTAGAACTAAAAAAACTGCTTAAAAACGTTTGAACTGTAATTTTTAAACGTTTTGTTGGAGCTGGACCAAAAGCTAAAGCTGAATACCGAAGCGGAGCTCGTCGCAATACGGAGTACCAGAGTGGAGCTCGACGAAGAACGGGGATTAGCTACGAACAGTCCTAAAGCGAAGCTTGACGCAGCGCAGAAGAGGGCCATAAGAAGACCAGACCGGATAGTTTCTTGCAGCGGAGGGTTTAGGAATCGGGGGCCAGATGATAATGCTCTAAATAGGGAAAATAAATGTCACGTGCGACATACGTGACCTTTTTAGGTTCATTGTAAATAAGGCGACACCTCAGGAATGCTTCAGCACCTCAACGCCTCATCGAACCAAAAAGGCTAATGTTTTATTAATTTGATGCATAACTTAATTCATACCTAATCACAAAATTATAGTGTCCTTTTATTTAGCATGAAGCAAAACTTTTCGAATTAAAGAATTTTGATTAATCACATGGCATCTGGCTTGATGTTATCCTAAGTCTACTGTATGTTTCTAATAAATCTTCAAAAACAGTTCATGTTTTTGAAGATTTATTCATTTTATTATTCAATTTTTAAATTCATTCATTTTGCTAAGACAAAGCAAGCAACATCAATTCTAACAACCACTCAAAATTTGTTTAAGGAACGCTGACAAAACTATTGATTAACATAGCACTTGACGTTGTGCTAAGTTGAGCTCATTTGAAGTTGCACACGATATTTGTATGAAACGTCTACTCGAGCTCAAACTAACTTTTAAAAACATATTATACATATAACTTAAAAAGCCTAAACCTCTGAACAATAAATTTTGTGAGATAAAATTTAAAGCTAGTCGATAAGTTAAAATTTAGTTTTAGTAACTTAGTATAAGATAGTAAGTTAGAATGTTTTATAAACTAGTTATCCGCACATTCGGGTTAGGCCTTCAAACTATTTTTTTTGTTGCTTTAATTTATCTATGTATACTAAGTTAAATTAAAGCGATAATTTTATTTTTTTAGCTTTATGAACGACGACGTAAAAGTACGACGGGTGCACACCATTTTTGAAGTATTCTGAGCACTAAAATTTGGGGCCCTTATATGAAGTTTTCTTTTTTTTTTGGGGGGGGGGGGGGGGAGAGGGGAGAAGGAACTTTAGACCAACAGCTTTGGCAATGCTATTTGGGGCACGGTGATAAGACAAAATAATGTCTTCTACTTTTTATATATATTCTTTTATATTGTAAATATTATTAAACGGCTTGTTATTTTAAAAACTCTACAACTATTTCCATCAAGTTATTAAGGTACATTAAAAGTAACTTTGTCCAAAACTAAAAGTTTATGAGTAACAGATGACAGTAATATCATATATCTCAAAATAATGTCTTCTACTCTCCCCGCCAGTGTTTTTTTTTATATATTCTTTTATATTGTAAATATTATTAAACGGCGAAATAAACAAACAAACAGAAAAACTTTTAGGCATTGTAAAAACTCTAAATTTATCTACGTTTGTGTTTACGCACCCCCCTCCCCAATTCTGAAGTTATTACTCTTTAATAACAAGTTCCGTTTGAGCCTAAAACGTGACCCCTAAAATGTGACCTAATTTATGGACGGTCTCTTATGTGAAATGAGAATGTCTTGCAAAAAGTTGCGATGAATAGAGATTTAAAAATTATTAACTTAAAATCATGACTTTCTTAACCAACTACAAATAAGAGCAGTTCATTCACAGTACGCGAGGTTTGAACTATTTTATTCTATCTCCATGTTTATCCGAACCGAGAAAATCAAGTTCAAAGTTTTAAATGGACCAGCAAACCAAATAACATAAAAAAGGCAAACAAAACTAATTTGCATTAATTTTCTATACAGGCTACCACAGTTTTAAAGAAATTGCATTAAAATATTTAAAGTGCAGGTGTCTGAACTACTACAACCTGATTTTGAGATAAAACAATGTAATACACACTTATTTTATAAAATACAGTGTTATTTTGTTCTATCTCCATTTTCTTTTTAAAAATATAATACAAACTAGTATTTTTTATATATATTGTGGCAAAATGATTGTATATTTTGGCAATTAAAGTACTGTAAGGTACATATCTGTTTTATTAGAAAAAAAAAATTATTTTACACTTGTGAACAAATAATAAATTTTGTCTAAAATTCAATTCAATAGAGAAGATAAGTAATATATTATCTAAAGTATGGGTTGTACCTAAAAGCCGGCCGGCCCAAAAACCTACAACCCCGCCAGGTCAAAAAAAGTCTTTTTTTTTTTAAATATAAATAAACGAACTTATATAATTATTATACCAAATTCACGTGACAACAATATTTATTTTTTGAATTTTTTTTTCACAAAAATTAACAAAGTTTTAAACAACATTTTTTTTTTCTTTATTACATGAAAATTTTTATACAAATATATAAAGTTAAAAAGTTTACAATTGAAGATTATTATAAAATATTGATAGAATTTAAATAAAAATAAAAAACATAAACCGGAAACATATAATTTATTTGATCATTTATTTGAAACATATAATTTATTTGACCATTATAACGACCACCGCGGTGTTTAACACAAAACAAAATATCACATATATTTTTGTTATCAACATTAATGCATATTCCTTGTACAAGTCTAGCACGAATGTATCGATGGTATGATGGCACAGCTTTCGTATATACAATATGTTCACATTATTAGTAACAGCTCCTGCAAATGTTATTTTAAAAACTCTACAACTATTTCCATCGAGTTATTAAGGTACATTAAAAGTAACTTTGTCCCAAACTAAAAGTTTTTGAGTAACAGATGACAGTAATATCATATATCTCAGAAACATATCATGCTTTGAAGTATTACCCCCATTAAGAAAATCGCAAACCCTCAAGAATGTTGGCAATTAAGAGTGTCCAGTGGTTGTTTTTAACGTGAAGAGTAATTGCGAGGAATTGGGTTCGGGTTAAGGGTTATTGCATAGAATTGTGAAAAGGGTTATTGAAGGAATTGCGTTAAATTCTTCATGGTTCATTGAGACAACCACTTTTTTTGTATTGTTGTCACTCACGCCATCAAAAGCCGCATTGATATCTCCAATTATGAGGAATGGCTTTGCGTGAACGGTAGTTTTCATTTGGTCTCTGTTGTACTCTAAGCAAATTTCCTTCTTTTATTAGTTTCAGTACTTTCTGGATGATACAATTAAAATGATGTTTTAATTTTGTATAAAATCTACACATCTACTTATTGGTTTCAGTAATTAATTATCTCATCACTTACTATAAAGACCGTACAACTTTATAATATAGGTACTCTTTAACTTACTTTATTATTTGATTTATATATATATATATATATATATATATATATATATATATATATATATATATTTAACTTTTAACCAATAAAAAAGTAAACAAATATATGTCTTGTTAAAAACAAAGATTTTTATAAAAATAAAGAAAAGTCAGCTTAAAGTTTGGGCCGGGCCGGGTTTTAGGTACAACCAAAAGTATGCACCAAAATCTTTACAACGAAATAAAACTTGAGTTAAAAGTTCTAAAACCATAACATCTAAAATACATCGCACAATAAAAAGATATCCTTAAGAATAATTAGTTAACCATTACCTCTGGTTAGTCCATTAAAAATATAATTTTTCAGTAAGAAGCCCATTTAATAACATAACATATAAAACATATATATTTGACGATAAAATAAATTATTTTAAAATACCCTTATAAAATGCAATATTTAGAGCAGACATATACTTGAACAGATTTTGAAGAACATTGGCTTTAACATTTAAAATTCGAGCACCTTGATTTAAGGCAGAAAACATAGTGAGCAATAACATGTTTTACCTAAAAGTTTTGTTGTTGTTTTTCAGTCGTAAAAACATCCGCTACCATTTTGGCGTAAATAACTTTTGCTTAGATAAAACGGAGATAGCACATTATAATTTTAATTTTTAAACAGGATCAAGGAGATAGAACAAAATGCAATGTCAGGTATAGTAAGTTATTTTTTTTAATCGATTTATTTGTAAAAAATAAATATTTTATCCATAATAAGAAAAAAAATTGATCTAACTAATTTTTTTTTGATTTGTGGAGAATAAAATAATTCTAACCTCGCGAGTAGTTAAAGAAACTGAAATATCATACATACATATGTTATAATTGTATATAAAATATTTATATAATTTAATATTTTACATCAAATTATAACATATATACATGTTTATAATTGTTATATTTATACTTATTTGTCTACTGTGAATGAACTACTCTTATTTGTAGTTAGTTAAGAAAATCACGATTTTAGGTAAGTATTTTTTTAATTCTGTATAAAAATAAACTACGATAAATCATTTTAACTCCATTTTTAAATCCACAAAATATGAAAGTTTGGAAATGGAGTTTAAACGATTGCGCAGTTGGATTTTATCCAATTGTGCAATGTTGGATAAGTTGTTCAAGTTTATGGCAAGCATACCTCAATAATTCATAAAATAAAACAATCATGGTAAACTATAATAATTATTATAACAACCATGGTAAGTTATTATTGTTAAGTAGATTATTTTACATAAACTTTATAAGAATACATTTAAAAAATTTTATTTTGATTATAAACTGTTGTTTTTGATGCAATAACGTAGGGTTGCGTGCCTGTAAACAAAATTATTTTTTGTAACGCAAATGATTATGGGATCGATAGTTGGACGAATACATTCTGTTACATGAGCAAAAACCCACGCCTAACTTAAAAGTTAAAAGTATAAAGACAAATAAATATTAGTCTCTAATTATACAACTCTTCATAAAAATAGTTTAGGGTTTTTGTTAAAGGTTTTCTCAGAATGGTTTCCTTCTAATATTTTGTCTAATTATATATAACAATGGCACGACTACGGGTAACATGTTACACAAAGTAAATATGAACGTTAAATATGAACTAATATTACAGAAATCGATCGTTTGATTCCGAAAGTTCTTGAGTTTCATCTAATTCACTATTTGATCTTCTAATCAGAGAATTACTTTTAACACCAAAGCTTCGTTTAATAAATTTTTTGAAACCTGTATGCATCCAATAATATATTATTGGATTTACGCAAGAGTGTGCAACGTTTAAAACTTTTAGAAATGAGTTTAATGTCATTATCGATTTTGATACAGGTAAACCTTTGCCAAAAATCCAGCTTGCTAAAAAAACAAAGTGAAGAATGTCGCGAGGTAACGTAAGAAAATAAAAGACTGAAGTCAACGCAATCAATAAGCGGATAGTTCTGTGATGTTCTTTCTTGTGTTTTGCTGCATTACTCAAAACGGTGCTTGTTGGACTATGTTTAATTATTTGAGAAAATATACGATAGTTAATAAAGTTAACGACAACCAAAAGAATACAAATGTTTATAAAAAAGTAAAAGATACTGGGTATACTATAAGCTTTGTTTGCTGCGTTAGGCACAATGCAACTCCTTGTTCTACCATCCCAAGTTAGATTCAATGCATAGTGTGCGTTCATTACTAAGGCGTATAGTAGATTCAATAACACACTAAGTTTAATATAGACAAACTTGATTGGTCTTTTAAATGGGTGAACAATAGTACGTTGGCGATCGAACGATATTATGACGTATATTCCAATAGACATGGTTGTAGCAATCGTTCCAATTGGAACAATCAGTTTACACGCCCAGTAACCAAAGTGCCATTTATAATGTGTTAATATCCAATATATATACAAAACTGGGTTGAAAACAGAAGCTAAAAAGTCTACAACAGCCAGGACGCAAAACAAAAATTCTGGGACTTTACTAGTCTCACTTATAACAGATACTTTTTTTTTCTTTCCAAAATAATAGAAAACAAAAACATTACCAACGGTACCTAATGCAAAGATAACTGAAAATAATGCCATCACAATGATTTCAACTGATATATATTCTATTTCGATGACTTTTTCCGTTGAGTTAAACGACATTTTTCTATATAAATTAATAAAGTTAACATTAATTGTTATGAAATAAAAATAAAATTTTACGAAAATAAATAAACAAAATATTTGTCTTATTGCAGAGCTCCGTTTTTCCTTGCGTATTTACATATTCGTGAATATGTAAATACGCATATGTAAAATACATTTTAATAATCATTAAAAAAATAATAATAATCAATGTTAATAAATATGTAATAAATACTTTTCAAAATCATTTTTAACTCGTATTTGTCAAGTCTATTAATTTCATCAAATGGTTTAAAATTTTTTATTTTTATAAGAAAATATTCTTGATTTATTTCTCAAAATAATTATTATACAAAGCTTTTAAATATATCAATCATGATTTTTATTTTAAATGTGCAACAAGATATATTTTCACATAATACAAAACAAGTATTTAAACTGTTTTACGTTGAGGAAACTTTTTTTTTCCTGCTTTATTTTGAATAAAATGATTCATAACATTAGGTGTGTAAAGGAACGTTGCACTTGAAACAAAAATAAACTCTTTCGCCTAGAAAAATCATCTAGTAAAATCGCGAAGTCTCAGTGAGATGCCTGCAAATGCTGAAGTAGGAATTGTTTTTTTTTTTTTGGTTTAGGAACGTAGCTATTTTAATTCGAAAAAGCCTTAAAGTCAATAAAAAAAATAAAATCGACTGCCATTATTTGTAATGGCCGTTAATTGATTTTTGATGAGAAACTAGTTTATTACATTGACTCTAAATGTATTGCCTGTTCTTATAAATAGACGCAAATGTGGTCATTAAAAGTTCGATAGCTTTAACATCAAGTGTTTTCCACTTTTAAAATCTATGCAAATTGAACTTATGTTATTCAAGTTCATGTTATTTTAAATTTGAGTTCAGATGACAACATTTAAAGAAATAAAATATCTTTTAGACATCCTCAATAAAATTATTGGATAAAATTTTAATCTATTTTTTTTTTTTTGCCAGGTTTTGGAAACCTTTAATCGTTAAATAAATTTAATAACTGTTTTGTATACCACATTTATCCAACTAAAATTAAAAAGCAAATCCCTTGTTACTCTCTCTATTACAAGAACATTTATAGTTTGAATGTTAGGTGGATAGAAATAAACACGAGCAGGGGAGAGTCGGGTAATGGCGAACGCGGGGTAACTCCGAACAAGGTTGTTAAGGCATGTTAGAAAAGGATAGCTGACAATCTTTTTTTTTCTGACAAGAGTGGGTTCCATGCTCAGTTCCAGACGTGCAATAGTGTATTATAAATGCGCAGGTTCTTCACGGTAGATTGCTTTTAAGTTTTTCTCTTAGTTTTATGAATTTTTATTTGCGAAACATTTATGTATTGGCTATACTATGTATATAAAACCACACTTTTATTTATGTTGTTGCAAAGTATCATAATCATGGAGTTTGTAACACGTATTATATTTAGGGTATGATAATACTACCTCAATATATTCGTTTAATTTCATTTGGTTGTAACGCGGGGAAATAACGAACGATCTTAGTGGGGTAATCGCAAACACTTATTGTCTTCAATACTTATATCCGTGTGTTATCATATACGCTAGAATACTTATTGTATTCTAGCGTATATGATAACACACGGATGATTCTTAAATAAAGTTATTATACATTATTTATTTAGTTTATTATTGTAAAATTTATATATATATATATATATATATATATATATATATATATATATATATATATATATATATATATATATATACATATATATATATATATATATATATATATATATATATATATATATGTATAAATATATATATATATGTATATATATATATGTATACATATATATATATATATATATATATATATATATATATATATATATATATATATATATATATATATATATATATATATAAGTATATATATATATATATATATATATATATATATATATATATATATATATATATATATATATATATATATATATATATATATATATATATATATATATATATATATATATATAAGTATATATATATACACGGTATTTTCGGAATTACCCCACGTACGTAGGGTAATTCCGAACACCGAAGGTTTTGTTTTTAATCGAATTTTTTATTTTTTAATAAGATATATGAAAATTGCTTTTGAGTGATTCTAACCAAATGGTTAGACTAAATAATAAGCAAAAAATATCATTAATATATAGTAATAATTGTCTTTAATTCGCATTCCCGCTTAGCTGTTCGTCATTACCCCACTCTCCCCTAAATAGTTTTTTTGTATTCCGACAGAAAAAATAAAGTTCATATTATTTAATATTCAATCAACTTTGGATGTTGTAAAATCGATTTTGAACGTTATCCAAGAACCTTTTGACTAGCATTCTGGTTTAGGAAGTTGAGCAAAGACAATTTACACTGTCTAGTAATTTTTTAGTTCATAAAAATAAAAAGTATTCAATCCTACTTTTTTTATCAACAAATCAAAAACTAAGAGTTGTGTCGATGCACATTAATAATCAAAAACTAATACTGAGTTGTTAACTGTCGATGCACACTGGACTAAATATAAATCTCTAGAAATTAATGCTTTTTTTTTTTCACAAAGATTTAAACCTATTTCATTTTGCAAACAAGAGTTACTTTTTTTTGCATACCTGTTAAGCTAGACGCTCTTGTATTAAATAATACCGGTAAAGCTAGACACTTTTGTAGTAAATAATACCGGTGAAGTTAGACACTCTTGTAGCAAATGTTTTGTTACTGTTGTTAAATTCTAGCTTGGTAATATGTTAACCTATTGTTTATTCTTAATGATTTCAACATATGATTTGACAAAGCTTTCTCTGCGTTGGTAAATATTTGGTTTACAGTATATTTGGTCGAAAAGTTTTTAATTTTCTATTGTTTTCAAGAATTTTCATTCGGCCTATGTACCAAGTTTTTTCGTTATAGATATTTTGTATTTCTTTTTAAATTTGCGCCCCAACATTAGATTTAATATAATTCTGTTTTACATATCCGTATTTTGTTTAAATTTAAATCATATTTTATAAATACGAATAAGCCTTCACAAAGAAGATCACAATTCGTATTTTTAATATATAACTAAATATATTTTTTAAACTAACATATTTTTAATATATTTTTAATATATAAAAAATGTATAATCATTAAATGTATTCAAATATAACTATTAATTGTATTCAAATATAAAATAAAAACTGGGTATACATAACTCAAAACAATAAAAACATTATTTCGTCACAAGATTAAATTTTTAAAGACATTTTCAATAGATGTAATAAAATCTTTTAATTCTTTTTGAACAGGATAAAGAAAGGGCAAGTCAAACTTAGGCAAAATAATTTGGTTCCAGAGATGTGCTACAAAATAAGTGACATAGAAATTCGATTGAGTTTAGTTTGACAGAATGGTGCATTTACATAATTGTTATTTCTCATGTTAAACTTGCCCTAGTGATATAAAAAAATTAAGTCTTTAAAAACTATAAAGATATATAATACTTCCCATACAAATAAAATTTTCATATAGATTTTGTTTATATATATCGAGGATTTTCTTTTTTGTTAAAATATTGAGGAACGTGAAAATCAATCCGCAGATTTAACTAAACGAATCGCATGTTTCTGACGAAGATAAAAACATTGTAACTTGTTTTTATCTTTTAATATTTTATATTTTAGTTCTTTCTCTGGCAATAACTCCATAATTTATATAACTTTGAAAAAAAGAGTAACAAGGTTTAGTTATATAATTCTGATATTTTTTGCAACCTTTGAGCTTATTTTTGATTAGTTTGTGGGTAGAAAAGATTTTTTCGAAAGCGGGCGGAAAAGAATTCATTTTGTTTTGCTTACATTTAAAGTAAACTCGTTTTTTAAACCATTTAAACCAATAAGATACGTTTTGAACTTCTTCATAGAAAATTAAAGAAAACAGTAGAACATAGTGTCATCAGCAAACATATTATATTTAAAAGATTTGATACTTTATGCAAGTTGTTGATATATATTAAAAATAACAAAATCAATATTTTTGAAGGAGTAATTTTTTCTGTAAATGCTTACGTTTAAGATTTTAAAAAAAAACTTATGTAGATAAGCTACCTGACTGCCTTTTAAACTGTAAAAATAATAATGTGACGTTTATGTGTAAAAGTATTTTCAATTGATTAATATATTTAAATTTGTTGATGAGTTTTATATTTTGTGTTTTAAACTACCCCTTTCATAAACTTTGTCCCCTACTAATTTTAAATTACACTAAAAATCTAAAAAACAACCAAAAAAAAATTTTTAAATAATCCAAAAATGAATAACTAATAAAAATGCATCAAATCCAATCAAATAGTAGGTTATAATGTTTTTACCGCTTGTTGTAGACTGTTAATAGGTTTAAACATTTTATTAAGACTAATATACTTTCATTAATTTTGCTTCGAAGTGTATTATTATCTTTTCTTGAAATTAATAAGTTAAATAAAAGGAAAAAAAAAATGTATTTGAATTGAAAATCAAAAATAGTTTCGAATAATATTGAAAAACACGGAGTTACAAATAGTATTTGTTTACAGAATAATTTTTGTGTTCATTTTTCCCAGTAAACACAAGGCGCGTTTTTGACATCTAATTTTATTTTTATCAAATTTAATTTTCTATTAATTATTATATGCAGTGGCGGATTAAAACTTCTTGGGGCCCGGGGCTATTTTTGTTTTTGGAGGCCTTTTTATGGGCCAGAGCCTAAAAATGACTTAAAAAAAAAAATCCTTTAAAATTTTTGGGGGCCCCTAAATTTGCGGGGCCCGGGGCTATAGCACCCCCTTGATCCGGCACTGATTACATGTAACTCGATGTTATATAAAATAAATATCTCCGTGGCTGGGAAAAAAAAAGAAATAAATGTCTTTCTAATCACATCAAAACTTAAATTATGATGTGCTTTTCATTGTAGAACATGTACTACAGTCATTTAGAAAAAAAGTTTATTTGAACTGTTAAACATTACGTACCAGTATTGTTGAGCTCATTTTATTTATCAAGTTAATCATGTAACTAAAGTTAATCATGTAACTAAAGTTAATCATGTAACTAAAGTTAATCATGTAACTAAAGTTAATCATGTAACTAAAGTTAATCATGTAACTAAAGTTATCGTGTAACTAAAGCAAGTAAAAGAAAATAGTATTAAAAGAAAATAGTATTAAAATACCTCATTAAACTGTTTCTTCAAAACTTGAAAGTCAAAAATTAAAAGAAAAGATACGTTAATAAGATAATGTAAAATAAAAGTGAAGATAAGTTAATAAAAACAGTTGTTAAAATTTGATGAAATAAAGGAAACAAAAGAAACCTTAAAAAGAATTTAATTCATTTACATCGATAAGATGCTTCTCAATAAAAAGAAAAACAAGTCAATTAAAAAATAATAAAGTCAAATAATTCTTTTGAATGTGTGAAAAAACCTGAGAAATAATTTTAACAGCTTGTTTTGTTTGTCTACATAGCAGATTTTACACAGTTCTGTTAGATTTAAAATTTCTTTGTTGACTATTTTAAACAAAAGGCTGAAATCTTTATTAGAGTAAAATAAGTTTGTTTCGACTTCAAATAAAACCGATTTTAAAATGTTTAAAATTTGGAAAAACTGTTTATATAAATAAGAGACGAGGTATCAAATGCTTGAGAAATGCAGTAAGATATGATACCGCAATATAAGATTTTCCAATCATTATCTTCATGATACGCACTTTTTTTTTTTTGTTCTTTTAATTATATTTTAAAAGAGCATTTTGTTACAATATCTACAAATATTGTATATAATAACAATATAAATAACAATAATACTCACACATACACACACACACGCACGCACAGTTACAGTTGAAAGCAAGATAGGCAGCTTGTTCGCATAAGGAAAATAAAAAAAAAAAAAATTGAAATAATTATAAAATATTTATAAAAATTAAAATATTGTTTTAATTAAAAAATGTTTTCAGAAAAATTAATATTGCCCAAAATAATTAAAGATAATCGTTCTTTGAATGATTCTAGGTTTTTATGAAAAATTTCTTTTTTAAGAGATTTTTTTTTATTCTTTTCGCACAAATATCTATTAACAAGAAAATAGGTAAATGATCAGGTTTTTTTCCATTAATTAAAAAATTTTTTCTGTGTTTTTCAAAAAGGAGCACAAACAAAATGCTTATTAAAAATTTAAGAACTTATTTGTAATAATTGAGAAAGAAGTAGCTAAGAAAAACTTTTAGCAACTGTCACAAGTACTCCTTTGCTTGTTAGAGATGTGGTGTTGGTGATTCTAATTTTCTATATTTGGAAACCGTTATTTTAATAAACCATCGTTGAGTTAGTTTACTACTTACAGGGAGTTAATAAATGGATAAAAAAATTTGCGAAAACAGAGCAAAGTATTAAAATAGGTTATATGAGAATAAAGTTATATTTAAAAACACCAATTAGTAATAATTAAGAAAAAAGCAGCTTTTTTAACTTTTTTTTAAACATTGTTAATGCGATTTTATATGCATAAGTTTAACTTACATTAAAAAAAAAACTTAGGGTAAGGGTTATTAGTAATGGGTGGTCTATGGGGGTAATCTTTTAAGGATCTTTTTTTGCAACGCATGTTTATTTAGTGATACTTTAGATTGAGTAGTGGGTAGTTTCTTAAATTTTTTAAAGTTGGAGACAGAAAACGCATAGTAAGTCACGTGACCATATGAAAAATTTATGATTTTACATTTTAATTTTTATTACAAATTTTTCTACTTGCAAACTGGTAACTTATGCAGGCTGTGAATCATTATGATAAAACAAGCATAGGGGAGACCGGGGCAAATTGCTTCTGTTTTTATTCTTTGAGCTTTGTAGACCTAACATCAAATTTTTTTGTGAATATTACAGAGCAGTCTTAAAGAGTTTGAATTTAGGTAACATTATTTACTTGGATTCATTATAATAAAAATTTAAACTTACCCCAGCCGAGGAAGTTGATGCAAACTATAAAAATGATTATTAATGTACTATTAAGTGAAAAGTTTATAAAAATTTTTTAATATTTATTTTGGCAACAATTTTAAGGCCAAAAATATAATATTACTTTTAGCTGGTACCAAATGTTAGTTCATATAGCAATAGTCCACTTTTTATCCATTAAAAAAAAACCTAAAAAAAAATTTTTTTTTTTGCAAAAAAATTTTTTTTTCAATATTGGTAAATATTTAAATAATAATTAATTAATTTTTTTAAAATATATATATATATTTCCATAGTAACTGCTATGAGGGCTCTAGCTACTTAAAAACTACGCCAAATTACCCCAAAAGTCATTTTTTCAATAAAAAGTCTATAGATCCAGAAAAACTATTGGAAAAATCAGACTGGAATTAATAAGCCAATTGTAACTGGAATTTTTACAATAATTTTTTTTCATGCGACTAACTATTTCTTTGTCAAGTAAAAAAAAAAAGGCGATGTTTAAAAAGTTACTTTTTTGTCGAAAAAATCCCAATATCTTCCACGCGCATGCGCGAATCCTAAATTTCTACAGTCAATGATGAAACGATCAATTAGGCAGGTTCTATGAAGTTTTTGGCACTTTCTGATAAAAAGGCTCTGAAGATATAGCTTTAGAACTGCGTTTATAAACGCAGTTCATCAACTTACCCCTGCTGCCAAAATAGCCCATGTCTCTCCTACTGACAACGTTCGTCGTCTTTCCGGGGCGTTACAGTTTTATAAAACATATTTTGGTTGTTCCAAAACGTAAGATTAGCAAAACATGTAAACAGTTTTTCTTAACAATTTCTTTTGACTAAGCATTACTTCAGTAACACAGCGGATTGATTAGCGGATTTTTTTTCTGATGACACTAAATCTGATTTAAAGTTATTATTGAAAATTTTAGTTACATTTTTATTTTAAAATGTTTTTTGTTTTTTCAAAGTTGTAACTGTTTAACACTTTTCTTGTGTTAATAAAATAAACAGCGTGGGTTTCTAGGTTACTACTTCTAATATATACAAATGGCTTAAGCCATGTTTATATAAAAACTTAAAAGGTCATACAAAATTATTTTGCACCAGTTTTCTGCAATAAATCAGTAATGTTAACATACTGCTACAATACTGTTATTCTTTTTAGATCCATTTGACTTATGATATTATGAACTTAGCTCAGTCAATTTTTCTTTGTCGATTTTACTTTCTATCTTTAATTTTTTATACTTTTTAGTTTTCTAAAAAAGAATTTTTTAACAAAAAAAATTTGTTAAACTATATAAGTTTTACAAAATCAATTGGGAAAAATCGATTTGATATATTTGTGTATGCCAATTAAAATTTATATATGAAGTTACTTACTTTTTCTCGTTTTCTGAAAAACTGGTCGCCAAACAAAAATGTGTGTGTACTCCTAGGGACTTTTTCTGGCTCTGAAAGAGTTTTTCAAACTGTTTATGCTTAATTTGTAATCGGATAAACTTGCAAACATAAAAAATCAATGTTTTATCTCATTGTTTCAAAAGACTCAACAAAGAGTATTTCTTTATAGCAAGGATCGGACCCATGAGGGAGGGAGGATGGAGGCGATCTTACATAATTTGGAAAGAGTTTTTTAATTGTAAACTTATATATTTAAAACAGCATGCTGTTTGAAAACGGAAATAAATTATGGAAGCTATTTAAAAATTGTATAAAGTTTCAATAAAAGTGTGTGGTGTAAATTTTAAATCAGACTGTTGGGATCAATCAATATGACGTAATTTCATAGTTAAATAGATTTAGACAGTATAAGGCTAATATTTTAGGAAAAATTAACTAAAAAAGTTTCATGATTTGTGGGTTTGTCTGCTCATAAACTATCCAATTTTCCCTCTCCCTTTACTAGGTGACCTGGATCCATCACTGTTTTATAGTGGTTAGCCGCAAAATAAAAACGTTTCAGAAATGTAGTGAAAATTTATTTCATAACAAAGCAAAAAGCGGTCAAAACCAAGTTAAAATCGAGCAATTTATTTTTAAACATGCAATTTTTTAATTTATAGTAATGTTTAAGCTCTGAAACGATTATGTGCTAACACGAAACGACTATGTGCTAACACAAAACGATTATTTGCTAACACGAAACGATTATATGCTAACACGAAACGATTATGTGCTAAAACGAAACAATTATGTGCTAACACGAAACGATTATGTGCTAACACATAAAGGGTATTAGTTAAACTCAATTGCATTTAACTTTTTTATTAAAGTTTTTGTTTTTTTTAGGGAATAGAGAGAAATAATATAATGACAAAAAAATCAGAGCAAATTTTAAAAAATTCAAATTACCTTCATCTGGGTATGCTAAATAACTCTTGAAATTTTAAAGTTTGTTTTAACCAATATGGGGATACCATGTTGTAGTCAAAAAGTTTTGAGAAAACATGAAAAATAAAAAGTAAAAGCATAAAAAGCATAAAAAACCCATCAAATTCAATCCATCCAACCCATTAGGGCTGTGGAGTCAGAGTCGGAGTTGCGGAGTTGCGACATTTTTAGCGGGTCGGGGTCGGAGTCGCTAAACAAAATCGCGACTCCGACTCCATTAGTAAAACTTCTCGGTATTGCACGTGCATGTACAAAACATTCAAATAACCTTATGTTCATACTAAACCTCAAAGAACGTTTCATAAATTTGTTAAAAAAAAAATTTAACTTATCGCGTAATATTTTTTAAAGAATTCAAAGAATTTTTCAAAAATTTTGCTTTGGAGTTGGAGTCGGAGTTGTGCTCAAAAAATTTCAACAGCTGGAGTCGGAGTCAAATTTTTACTCAAAAAATTTCAACAACTGGAGTCGGAGTCGTTACTTTTTTTTTACGACTCCACACCCCTGCAACCCATTAAGTTCATCAAATTCATCTAATCCATCCAATCCAATCCATCCAATCCATGAAATTCTTTTTGTGAAGATATTTATTTTATAATAACAATCCAACATTTTTAAAGACTTTTAATAATTAGAAGTTCTAGGTTCTTACTTCTAATAATTAAAACTTATAATAATTATAAGAGAATAGTAATTGTTCTCTATTTTTTATAATATTGATATTACCTTCTTTATAAAATTGATACTACCTTCTTTAGGTCTGTTTTATACGCATTTCAAAGTTTTTTAAATCAAATTTCATATTGTGAATCTTAAAAACTCTGTTAATGTACATTCATTGAATTAAAGAATTACAAAACTTCAACTTCAAGCAAAAGAATATAATTTCAAGCAAAAGAATATAACTTCAAGCAAAAAAAATATAATTTAAAAACTTTGGCATAAAAATTTTGC